CATTGTATCATGTTAGTTATGTTTTAAGCTTTCTGCCTGCATTTGGACCTTGATCAGCTACACTGGAGCTCTTGCATACTTGTGAAATAACTAAAAAAAACTTCACTCACAAAATTTTATAAGTATTAAAATAAATCAGAAAATACTGCCAAAGTATGTCAATAAAACAGTCAATGAGTGTACTTCAGCCTAGAAATAATGCATATGCTACAGCAACATTGAATTAATACAGAAAATCAATATGAGCTCAGAGAATAAGCAGCACTGAAGAAATAAGACAGCACATCTTACAGAGTTTCCTGTTCAACCAAAGCCTGATAGACAGACACACTTTTCTCCACAGGTCTGGCAAAAGCTGAAGATACAAGACTAAAAACTCACGCAATCATCAGATCCAGTTCGTGAAGTAACAGAGAATAAATATGATAGACCTTTCCCAAGCTAATTTGTAAAGACACTAGCCTACTATAAACCTTGTTTTTCTTATAAATGCACACATGAAGTGGAATCACCAGATGTTTGCATAATAGGAGAACTGACTGACTGCATGCTTTGCAAGTCTGATAAAACATTCTCATAGATTAACAATAACCACAATTTTAAAATGGTCTTCCAAACACAACTTATGCTTAAATGCTTAAAGACCCTATGTGCTTGCACATGGCACAGTACATTACTCAATTCTACCAGATGCTGAGATAGGTCCATATAAGCTCCACATTTTTTTTGTTTTACCAAAGGATTTTGTTTTCAAAATATCCCTTAAAGTTCTGAGTGGACTGTTATTATTTGTCAGTGCTTAAATGCAATATAATTATTAAAATTATTAAAGAATACTTATATAAATAGAACTTTACTGAGTAACTATTGCCATTATTTTAGCCTACAAATGGATACCTTAGTGTGTATCTACATTTGGGAAGTTTCCACTGAGCTGTTTCCATTCATGGGAAACACAAATGAGCCTTTACTCTGAATGCACAGAGCCATTTTAAATAAAATAAATCTACCGAAGGTAAGTAACCCTGCAGATCAATTTTGGTATAGAGAGTGTAAAGACTTGAAAAACAGGTGGTACAGAAATTCTGTTTACATAGTTTAAAATGGAGAATTAAAAAAAAAAAAGTATTATAAGAGCCATTTTCTCTCCTTCTTCTTAAGTCACCATCAGCAAAAACATGTGAAAGTATTTTGCAGAACTGGCTTTGAATGAGCAAATTCAGGATGTTCAAATTTTGGCAGAAAAATTTAAATCCTAACTTTTGGGAACATCACCTTCTGTTTGACAGTTCATTTAGTATTTTCAGTATGTGGGCCAGACAGTTCCTACTACAGAATTTACAAAGGAGTACTAAAATAAACAGTTACCCTTCCTTTCGATGCAGAAGAAAAACACTGAAGTTACAAGCAGGCTCTGAAAACAGAATTAATGTAAAACAGGTGATGATAAAAACATTCTAGTTGGGTTTGTTGCTGTTATTTTCAGCACTTTTTATGCACTTTGTTTTGCACGTTTCAGACTTTAGCCTTTGTGTTTTTCAACACTTTTCTGCTTCGAAGACTAGAACAGAATGGGAGCAAGTTCTACAAAATTATGTTTTCAGAAAAATCCAAATACCCCAATATTCAAACAATGCACTGTGAGAGTTGGCAGTACTGCAAGCTATCCAGCGGAGAGCAGTCTACAGCCTTGGGCTTTCTAGGCTGCCCCATCAAGTGCACTGTTGCTACTGGAGAAATTGAGCTCCTTCAGGTGGCTTCTGAAGGAAATTTCACAATATAGGAAGCAGTAGAGGAGCTGACACAGCTCTATAACCTCCTGTGGACTTGTAGGTTGTCTTTAGAATGCAAAAAAAATTGCAAGGAGCAAAGCCATTAATTCAACCCTTCTTTGTACAGTTCCACATAAAAATACCTGCCAGATGCTGATATCAATATCTAAGGGTGGTTCTCAACAAGTCTGACTCAAAGTGACAAGGAGGGGCAGAAGCACTCTACCTCTCTTTGTAATCTGCCATATTTCCATCTGTTCTGTGCACCCAAGCCACACAGTGACTGAAGTCCATGAATGATTCAGTTCAGAGGAGGAGGAAGGAGGAAGAGAAATTGTATATTTTGTTGAGGAAGTCAGTTGTAACAACAAACTATTTTCATTGTTTTGCCATGCAAGTGCAAACATGGCAGAGGGATAAGCAATCTGACAGCTGAGACTAAGGGATAATTCAAATTTAAGAGGTATATGGTAACAAAATCTTATGTCAATATTCAGTAAAAGCTTACTGAAACTACTGAGAATATACCAGTACTGAGAATGTTTCCTCATTATCCACCATTTAGGATTTTCCATGTAAAATTTCAATCTAGATAGCAATTTATTCACATAAGGGCTCATCTGCAAAATTTGGACTTTTGCCTCTCAATGGAACTTAACAGAGGACAAAGCTTTCTGCCCACAATAATGGCTTCAAATAATCTTAAGTCAATTATACCAAAACCAAACTTGTATATCCATCTTAAAAATCTTTCTGATTTTTACATTTCTGATTGCTGATAATTAGAAACCTGCACATATCACATAGAAGAAAAGTCCAATTTTTTAGTACAAAGATACACAAGACACTATCAGTTGACAGGTATGTACTACATCGCAACGGCTGAGATTTTTTTAATTGCCTGGTTCATATTTTTTTAAACACTTCTAACTGAGAAATACACAACATGATTGCTTCCTACCATTATAATTGTTGCTACAGGTATTTTTATTTTCATAAATTGTGAACTTTTTCTCCTCCTGGATCCAAGGTGAAATACTGATATCCATTTGCACAGCATGAAAAGAATGCTATGTATTCTGTTGCTATTCACAATGAAGACTGGAGTTCAAAACCAAGATTCTGGTTAAAAAATGAGGTCAAGAGTAGCAAATAACTCAACCAACCCTAGCTACTCAGAAGTCATGCATTTAGTTTAACCTTAATCTTATGTTCCTTTCCTAGTCAACAAATACAGATCAACTACAGTAAACTGTCCCATTGAAATGCGTAAGATACATCAGGTGTATTCTATTTAGATACCTATTTATATATGTGTATATACATAGATTAAATGCAATAGGTATTTTTGAATCATGTAGAATAACTTACTCTCATGTGGTTTAAGTATTTCTGTTCACTACAGAAAGATGCATACAGTTATGTTAAGCTAGGTACTTCATTAAGTTGAGGAGACTCAACCAAAATTAGCAAGGCCTCAGCCCTAATAAAGCAGTCTAAAAATAGGATTTCATAACATCATTTAAAAAAAAACACAAAACAAACCATAAAAACAGTTTACAAACTTGGCCCAATTTCCCTTGTGAGGAAAGCCGTAACTTTCTTGGAGAATTTTGCAATGCTTCTACACAACACTTTTCCATGGTTATTTAATTATATGGGAAAGCTCTACAACTATACAAGTTCTATTGCATTTTTTAAGTCCACCAGCTTCTCTAGGCTTCTACCAAATTCACCCTAACTAAAGCCTCTTGGTCTTCCTCAGGGCTTCCATAAGACAGCATCTCAAGGTATTTTCCCTCAGTAGCCTGCTTCTATTTGAGTGCTCCTCTTCAAAGCTCATGTAGCAACACAAATCCTAGTGCTGCAAATCCCTTTCCAAGTATCTTTCAAGGGTCAGAGCATAATGCACCACATCATCTGGGAGACACTGCCATAGCCACTTTTTTCTTTTCCTGTATAGAAGATTATAGAGTTTCACCAAACTTCTGAAGAACATTGTAACACCATTCTTCCTGCAGTTTGACACACCTGAATGTATCCTGGGATGGAATAGTTAACTATCAGTAGAAGGTTGGAAGAACATCTACCCACTCCATGACAGAACCACACCATTGCCTTTAATCATATTTTAATTCCACCATTGGTGTGCCAATCAGTAATGTATGTGGAAATTTCTAGTAAATGGATATTTTCTTCAATATGCAGGAAGAAAAAAAACACAGAGCATTGCTTAGGTGCATACAAAATGGGACTGCAAAATGAAATTTAAGTAATAGTTTGCTTTGTTTTTAAAATTCAGGATTTAGAGCAATCTGTGTTTTTGCAAGCTACCATAATTGGTCAGAGCACAGCAATTAATTACAAAGAAGAGAAACAGAAACACTTTCTTCTGCTGTTTCTCAGTTGTGCCAGGCAAAATAGTTTAATTTTATAGCATTTTCTTTTACAGCTTCTGTCAGAGTTTATGTGAATTTTCCTTATACTGTGAACCAACAATAACCTTATTTAGCTGAGTAATAGGAGCTACTGGGGAAAGCTGATCAGTGGACATTATTTAAAATAATCAAACCCAAACCAGGCATAAAGGCCATTTCAGTAGGTCAGACTGGCATTGAGAGCATGACTAAGAGACACATACTAGATTCTCATAAATTCTTTTATTTCCACCATATACCATCTGACTCTCTTCCCACTTAACAGCAGAAAAATATCTTAAGAATTTAATAAATATTTATCTTCCATCTATCATTGCTTTTTTTCCCCCCAACATGTAACTGCTGTGTCATAAAAATGAACTTCGCCTCTTATCATTTCAACATTTTGATCATTACTTTACTTGAAATAGAAAACATTTAGTGGAAAAATACCAAATATTGGAATAATTTAGAAAGCCTTGACATCTTAAAATTTCTACATATCTAATGGTTAGCATTTTTTCAAAATTAAGAATTTCCAGTATCTTCTGGAAATTAATATTATTAAACTATTCTTATTTCACTACTCTCCTTTTAACTGATATTGTTACCACCAGTGATTAAAAGGTTAAGAAGAACTGCAACTGCTCATTGACTTACAGGCAGACACATAAAAATGTGTCCACTTTAACTTGAAGTCATTCAGATTTAAGAGGATATTGACGTAGCACCTCCTCTAACACTTCCATTGTAGAGGCCCTTGGAAAATGCCATTCATGAAACAGTAAAACAAAACATTGAAACTCCCTACCTTCACCTGATGATCCTGAAAGGTCTATGATGACATACACTCTCCCTTCTGGCTCCAAGTCAATCTGCAATCAAGAAAACAATTAGAAGAAAACTTAGAGTGGCTCTGAAAGCAAGTGACTGCAAATGCAGGAAACAAAAAGCTAAAACTCGTGGAGCCAAGGTGTAGGCAGGACACATGGGCAGGCCTACACCTCACTGCCAATAGAGCCTCCTTTTACTTAGAGGTGCTGAGGGCCTCACACCTTCACTGAAGTAAAAACGTGTGTGCCCTTAGCACTTGAAAAACTTGAACTCCATTAATTTTACAAATCAAATACTTAAAGCACTGTTCTGCCACCCATTTGCACCACTATTTCCAAAGGGAAAAGGAAGAAGGTTAAAAAGTGAGTCTGGAATAACTTTTTAACTGTAATTAATACTGAGCCCAGCTATGCAAATGTGAAAAACAACACTGTGACCTATTCAGATCCCAGCAAGACAGATCAGCTCTGGTCACAGAATGGGGTAAATGAACACACAGAGATCGTACGGCCGGTTAACACGTGGTTATAATACTCCCTTTATATCCCCACTGGGAGAAAGAAATCCATGCTTTCTCCTCTTTTTCTGAAATACAAAATGTGTTTATTTCTGCACAATTCTGGTGGCTTTAAAGGAGTCTTTGCTCTTGTGGAGATTACTTTTGTTCAGCATGAAACATAGGTGCTCAGATTCAAGATGGTGTTCTTCAAGATTTCATGGACTGTGGGAACAAGCTCCTGTACATTTAGGGACCACAATGAGGAGCTAATTACAAATCCTCCTGTGTTTTACCACACATTTCATCAGCAACTCTAAATACTGTTAGATTTTAATATCTTGATGGTCACCTGTGCACTACAGACAATTTTTGCACCCACCCATCTCTCAAAAATTAAACTGTAACCGAACCACTGTGTAAACAATAGCACTTATTGTCACATAGCAGTTGTCATACAATTTCAGAGACTGAATGAAGTGACATGGTGTCCATTAATACTGTGTTTTTGTTCTATTTTAGTAAGCAAAGCACCTCAATAAAACTGCATGCCCAGTGCCAGGGTGCATCAAGGGGCCTTCTCTGCCATGGCTTGGCCTGTGTCCCACTGCCCCAGCCTGTCTGGGAGGCATCAGGGGAACCCCAGTCTAGGGCATTAGGCACCTCCTTGGGGATGGGTGGGGGCCAGTGCCAGGCTGGCATGGGGGCCCATGGGTAGACCCAGCTAAGCAGAGCAGGGCTGGGCCACATGGAGCTGCAGACCTGCCCCGCTGTGGGATTGCTGGGACAGGGGCTGAAAGCCCTGGGGACTGACATGGGGTCTTGGGCTGCAGGCAGGACAGGGAGAGAACCAGGGGCCATGCAGGGACATTGGGGCCTGTTCATGACCCCAGGGCTCTTGACACCCACACAGGACTTTGTTGAGATCAGGCTTGCTGTGTGCCAAAGCAGGGTGAGAAAACAGGAAAAGGAGATATGCCCCAAAAAGCCCCCTTCTTCCCCTAGGTGAAAAAGTGGCAGGACTCTGGGTTCTTGCAGGTGCCAGACCAAACAGATGCAGGACAAAAAGACAGGAGTGTGCCACATAGCTAGAGTCTAGCCAAACCCTGCTCTCCACAGGCAGAAACCCAAGACCTTTCCTGACACCTACTCTGAGGCAACCACCGGACCACAGTCCTGCTCCTCCAGCGCCACGCGGCTCTGCTGCAGCAGGGGCAGGCAGGCATTGCTTTGCTGACATTGGCAACTGGCCTCTGAGCCACAGCAGGGTATGGCACTAGGCCAGAATAAGATGATAATCAGGAGATTGCCAATTCACACTAGTAACTTGGGAAACTAATATGTTGGTCTTCACAAATCAGCAAGTAAATGAGTAAGGGAAACATCTGGGCTATGCCAGGCTTTGCCTGTCTGCATTCAGCAGGCAGTTCTATGGGGCCAGTATTTTTGCCTCCAGGTTTCTTTCATCACCCAAGGGGACCTTACAAGAGGAGCACCTCTGCAGTTTTTCTCTTTTGGGCCACAGCTGCTAAGTCACTGAATGGTTTGGGTTAAAATGGATCATCTAGATCCAACCCCCTTGCACTGGCAGGGACACCTCCCACTAAATCAGATTGCTCAGCACCCCATCCAACCTGGCCTGGAAGAGGGCAGCCACAGCTTCTGTGGGCTTCTGTGACCTGTCTCAGTGTCTCACCACTCTCACAGTAAATAATTTCTTCCCAGTGTCTAATCTAAGTCTACCCTCTTCCAGTTTGAAACTGTATCAGTGACAATCTTCAATCTCCATGAACCAGCTTCTCATAAAAACACTTCTGTGACATTCAAGAACGAGCTGGCAGAGGAGTTCACAGGTCCAGCTGATGTCACCAGACCAACAGATCAAGAAAATTATCTCAACAACTGTATTGCAAATACATGAGGCAGGAAATAGGTGTTAGCAAGGCCAAGGGTTACGTAGAGGAGAGGAAAATGAAAATGTGGTAGAGTAGTTTTCCATAAATAAAGTGTTGACTATTAAGTAAAGACTTTTTTTTACCAATTTCTGAACTGGCTGCATCAGTTTTGTAGGGGAGGTTTTGGCTTGTTTTTTTGTTTGTTTGTTTTAAATAAAGCTACTGATCTGGAAATAATGCTCCTCTCCCCTTTGCAGTTTTTAAATTAAAAAATATTAGAAGATCAGAAGCACAGGTGCATGAATACACTTTGATGTCTATGCTGAGGGAGGTTTTGAAAAACTGCCATAGCACTCAACAGATGTCTGTATAAAAGACAGGCAAGTCTAACGCTCTGTATCGTCACTGTACACTGCGGGGTTAACCTTTCAGTAAAGTAAAATACTTCATGCATTTCAAATCCCAGTGTGCATACACACACATATAAAAACCCCAACAACATCCCTGCAGAAGACTCAAGCATCTGGAAGAGCTGGTGGCCACCGTCACAAAGTCTGTTCCCCTTAAGTACAAACAGCACTGGAGTTAACTCAGGAAAAATACTGGAGAACTGAACCCAAGTTTTCATTACCCCTTAAGTGCACTTTACTTTTATACAACTTATAAGAGATGCTGCTAACTGATTTTGATTCAGAATTTTTGCTGATGCTCTAAACAGATTGAAGTACATATAAGAGAGTCTCATTTGCCAATAAAATATTTTTCAGTCTTAAATGCTCTAATATCAATGAGAATGAAATGGATATACACTTATTTTCAGATTTATAAAATACCCAAATTCCTTCTTAGCAAGTACCTATTCTGACAGTCTCATCAGTTGCATGAATTAGTACTTTTGCCTGAAGCAGGCAGCTCAGCTGCCTCAGCTGACCTTACATATAAAAAGAACCTCCCCCCAAAAAGCAGAATCCCCTAAACTTATGGGAAAACCTTCTTTTGATCTCAGCTCTTTCATGTATCAAAGCAAATACAGAATGAAGAGGACTCATTCAATTCTAATTTTGCACTAAACTTTTCTAATGTAATGCCTAGAAACACACTGGTTTATATACCTCAAAAAAACAGAGTGCTAGAATAAAAGTTATTTTCTTTCAATCTGCACATTAAACTACCCTTAGAAGCAGGTGTCATTTTACACAGAAGTAACAAATAATGCATGCAGCACAATCTAAAGTTTCCATCATTTTTTACCAAATGCCCAGAAAGATATCACATGTGAAATGCTCTCAGACATACATAACCAGAAGCAAAATGACTGGCCAAATAGACCTTCCTGAATGCAACAGAAATGGTCTGATCACAGCACTTCCAATTCTGATCCTTCTCTTTGACTAAAAATACTTCTCTCTGAACACAGACAAGCATTTACACAGGCTACAAGCAGGTATCTAAAAACACTCAACTGTTTAGAAGAACAACAGAGAACAAGACAAGATGCCATCTAGGAATGAGACAGAGGAGTGGGTACAAAAAGATCATTACGTCTCACACATACACACCACATTCTCTGCATGTAACAGAAGATGTAACAGCTATTATTGAACAAAACGTTTCATCACTGGAGTGTTTTGGCCTTCTACTGGTCCATGCTATTGCTGTGACTTCAGTTAAAACACAGAGTTTTAGTAGGTGCAAGGAAGATTAATGATAAAGGTACTTTAAACAACTTCTATATCACTAAAATAATCCTTATTTGGCGGCGTATTGAGATTAGTACAATGACTGCTGGAAAGCAGCACAGATCTTGAAATACTCCAGGCATTAATAAAGCATATTAGCAGCCTGTTTCAGGGAACAAAAGGCAGCCGTCCATAAAACCAGACATACTTTCAGAGACAAAAACCCATGTTGAAACCATAGCTGAGTTTCAGCATATTGAAGGCATTTATATAGTTTCACAGTCATTAATGGATTTTATTTTCAACACCCTTCTGAGACAGTTCCCCATCTGCAAAATGAGATATTCCCAAAGGCATAAGCTAGACTAGATGACTTGCCAGAAAGTCATACAAGAAATACAGTTAAACCAGGACTGAACTCTAGTCTCTGGAGTTCTAGACTGCCCACTGCACCAGTGCACTATTTCTCCTATTCCTCAATTTAGTTTCATTTTGTCAACCTATACAAATCCTGTCTTCCCGCAATATCAGAGACATCCAAGTAGGTTTTTTTTTTGTTTATTTTAAACAACTTTAATGGGTACATATCTAGGAGGCAATTTTCTTTCTTTTCCATTCAGATACTACTCATCAGTAAAAACAGTATCAAAGAAAAAAATTGCCTAAATATTGCTGTGCAGCACTTCTAAAGCATCATAACTCTTGGGCAACTCTGGAGCAATGCAAAATTCAATCACACTATGCAAAAGATTGTGAAAATAGTTCCGCTTCTCCTCAAGGTTTGCTTTTTGTTAAGATTTTAACTCCTAAGCATTCTTCTGAAAAACTGAGTCCTGAACTCATATAGAAGCTTACCACTTTCCTTCTCTCAGGTGCAAGCTGTAATTCTCACCCCCCAAAAATAGGAAACAGGAATTTCCTGTTTCTCTAACAGGATTCTCTTAAACAAAGATTTTGCTAAGGAAACCACA